GATTACCTTCGAAGAGGAGTGTCAGAGTGTCCGCAAAGATGACAGCAGCTCGACGGTCACTCATGTCTGTCCCCATCACCAGCTGCAGGTTCTCCTCTGCTTTGTTGGCCACCTGCATGACAACAGGACCAGTCAGCTGCTACCACTCAAAGATATTCTTCATCCCATGGGGCGGACTTCTGTCCCCTGCCCTATAGAGCCCCGGGCTTTTGCTAGCCTTCCCATTGCAAGAGGTACTGCCGCTGTTCCTCCTTTGAACAGGGATCCTTTCCTCTCTTGTGGAAAACTCAAGGATCAAGGAAAGGTAGAAGCCTGTTCTTCTCTTTCCAGGCTCCCTTGTATGAGCTTTAAGCAAGCACCACGCGCAAGACACAAAGGAGAAGTCATGCAGCCAACAGGATCTGTATTCAGACACCAGAAAGACCACCCCAGCGCGTAAAACACAGGGAGAGAGATGAATTAAGACCAGAGCTGGTTTCTAAGATTAACAAGCCAGAGCCAAGATCTCCTTCTGCAACATCTGTTGACAGAGACTGGGTTTTGCTTTCCCCTAGGAGACCAGACAGGTCACAGTATGTTTCACAGAACCTGTTACCTGCTTGCAGAGGTACTCTGAGAACTTGCTCAGCCCCTCTTCATGTAAGCCTAGCAGAGGAAAGATCTTGAAGAACCGTTCCACCTGGGGCAGGTCTCCCTGCTTCATAGCTGTGTCGAATTTCTCCGTGACAATGGTCTTCAGGCGCTGCTCTGCTTCCTGCAGGAGCTTCAGGTTGGCATCAATTATGCCCCCTGGTCAAAAGGACAGAAAAAAAAAATGGAAAAGTGGCAGCATAATGTTAGTACCGTATCAAGGGCTACTTTTTTTCCCCAGCAGAGAGACCAACACTGTGCAGCCCTAGGGTGAGAGGGCAGAACGCACACTGGAATTCCCCTACAGGCAAAGGTATGCGTCTGATGTACACACAGCTAATGTCACAGTCTTGCACGGTAGATGCAAACACATCAACCGGGACAATTTATTTTAGGGATCAGGCAACTTACTCCTTCATTTCCAGTTGTTCTGCTTGATAGCACACTGTAACACTGCAACAGTTCCCCTGACAGAGCCTTCTCCCTCACTTCTTTTGTCCTGCACATTGTGTCCTTCACCTAGTCAGCACCTGAAATGCTTTTAAAGCGGTGTGCCAGGAGCTCTCCTTTCAATTAACGATAATTCAAACCTAACAATGCTTCAAAAACGTTCACCTCTATGTTAGACTATAACATACTAAGATCTCTGGTTAGCATTAGATCTTCTGCTTTGCCTATGGAGCTGAGGCTATCTGTCATGGGAAATCATGCAGCCTCTAGTTATCAGCTGGAAAGGTGATTTATCAGCTTCTCTTCACAGACAGTACTTACCTTCCTTGCCCTGACGACTGAGCTCAATCACTGATTTGTCCAAAGACAGATAGCGATGGATATGGGCTGCTGCTTGTTCATAATCTTCATTTCGCAGGGCTGTTTGAACTCCATCCATGCAGAACTTCAGGTCAAGGATGTCATCAGCTCTCTGAATGGCCTGGTAAAGTCGATTCTGCAAGAAAGGCAACCAGTCAGGCTTCCTGCTGCAGGCTGGACCAGGGAAAGAGAATTATGAGAAAACAGCATGGGGGGGGGAGGAATGAAGGAAAAAACAGACTGCAGCGATAGTTCTCTACATAAGCAGAAACCCCAACCTATTTAAAAAACGTCGTAAGACCAGTGACTCCAAAATATGAACAGCATTTACCTGTCAAAACTCAGATTGACCTCAGAGGCCATACTCCACTTTAACAAACGGGCAGAGATCAGCGACACACCCACACATCATCTGTCTCGATTTAAGCAGTTGTTCTGGGCCCTGGGATGTGATGTCTCTTAGCCTACTCTCTATACAAAGAATATGACAGCCCGGATTCCTGACCACTCTTGGGTGACAATGACCATTTCCACTGTCCTCAGTGCTGCCATAGCTGTCAAAAGACTGCTAACGAAAACTAACCTCAGCTTATTCACCATATTGTACCAGGAGCTGCATGGACAGAAGGGGACGCTGAAGGACAAGCCACTATATGGCAAATCATATGCATTATTTACTCCTGTACCCTGCAATATGCAGGAGCCCAGCAAGATACCACTACCGAACAACACTAGAAAATGCTAAAACAAAGAAGGAAGCAGATTCCAGCCCACCAGCCCACTGAAGAAAAGAGCACATTTCTCTTATTGCGCTCTGAGCGCACGAGCAGACAGAATACGGCTTGGTGGTGACCCCATCAGTCCAGTTACCTTGGCAAGGTCAAGCTGGCGGACTTTACTGCTGACGTTCTCGGCCAGGTTACAGGTGAAGGTGATCATCCCCGCCAACTGCTGGGCATCCCCCTCAATGAGCTGCAAATTAGGGCTGGAAACACAAGTGAATTGAACATGAGATGCAAATATTAAGTAGTCGGATGGTCTGTAACAGTAGGATAGTTCTTCCTCCAAAGCCAATCGCTCCTGTCAGCAACAGTGCCTCTCATTTCATGCCTCCCCTACAGGTGCAAAGCATCAAAATCAAACAGACTGCTTTGGAAGAGGCTGCACAGACAGATTAACAACTGTCTCACTACCAGACAGGGCATGAACGAGCCACGAAAGCTTTACTCCCTACTTCTGAAGCAGAAGATGAAGTCTGTGAATTTGTGCTCCAAGTTCTACTAGACATGAAGCCACTTAGGGTGACTTTTCAGACTGCCTGCACAAGCTCACCACGAAGAGACAGTAATATTTGTTCATACCTGTACACACAAGACATCCAATCCAAGCATTGATGCTGAAACTTAACAATATCTGGGGTGAGACCTTCAAAGAACTGCTCAGCCTACGCCAAAACGGGTTGGTGACTGCAAGGGCGCAGCAGCTCCCGCTCTTAGTGCTGCTGGAAAGAACCGGGATGAGAATCCAACCGCCCCTCCCTACTACAAACTGATTTAAAGTCTGATGTTTTCTGAGAAGGAATGTGCTTCCCTTACAATGTCGAAACGAGTTTTCACATTATGCAGTAAGCAGGGAGGTACCGAACAGCGCACGGAAGCAGAAAGACGGGGAGAGGGTGGGGGATCACTAACCCCATGCGGTGAAGCGCAACCATCTTGTTCTCTATGGTGCTTTGCTGTTCCAGGAGGGCATCCAGCTCTTCCTGCACGACTTTCTGAAAGAAAAGAACGAAGGAAATCTTGTGTGACTTCAGGCCAGCAACTTATCAGAGCCTCTACATCCAAGTCAAGCACACGCAGTACCAAAGCAACTTCCAAGGGCTCATACGACAGTTAAATCCGTCCTAAACTCTCATTTTAACCCTGTAAGTATTTATATTTATGCCATTCCAAAGCAACACAAACCTCATCACACAATTTTTAAGTCACATAACCCACAAACCCCTCCCTTGGCCACGCTTTCAGCGCACGAGGACCCTGAATCCGCAGGGATCCGCTCACGATTCCGTGACACGAGTGCCACGGAGGCGACACCGCCCTCCCCCCGGGCCCGAGGGACGGCTGAGCCCCTATTTAATATCTCCGGAAAAGATCCCGACAACGGGGGCCGTGACAGAGAGTCACCCGCTCTCCCTGTCACCACAGCAACGGCCGGAGGGGGCTGGAGCAGCGAACCCCCTCAGCGGTGTCGCGTCGCGTCCCGTCCCGTCCCGTCCCGTCCCGTCC